AGATTTGTCACTAATTGTAAAGCACTTACACATCACTGTACCCTGTATACCAAGGCAGGTTTGCCATCACTTACTGTAAAGAGGCTCAGTCATTGGTACACGTTTATTTATAAAGCTTTGTTGGGTAAACTCCCGTATTATATCTGCTCTCTGATAACACAGAGAGTTGCAAGCAGCTATTGTCTGAGATCGCATGATGTAGTATTGTTAGATGTGCCAAGAGCAAGGACTGTAAGACAGCTTTTATGTGCGCAGCTCCACTTGCTTGGAACAATCTTACATATTACATTTCTATAATTTAATTAATTAATTTTTAAATCATTTAAATAAAATGTTATTAAAACAAGCTTTACACACTGATTATTTCACAATGTATTTGTTTATTTATTGGACATCTTATATAAGTTATTCAAATACTCCTTTTATTTTTATTAATTCAATATTAACCATGGGGCCCCATCTCTTTCTAGCTTGCTGTGTTATTGCTGTTATAAAAGCTAGTTTCATGCATCTGTGAAATTTGGGGAAGTGAATGGAGAGAAACATTTGAGTACCATGGAAACATGTTGGTCAAATCTACAATATGTTTAACTCTGCTGTGTACATGTGTTGTATCAGGGGTGTATGTAACTTGCTGTAGGAACTGTATACTGTGTCAGAAATACCACAGTGAATGACTACATTAACATGCTAATGATAATATGTTTTGCTGGTTTGGAAAGAAGAATTGTAATTCTTCTGCACTCGGGGAACAACTACCCATAAAGTAGTGATCGACTAGTGAAACAAATAACTGTGTTCAAATCAAAGAGTTATGGAAAACAGAGTAAAATGAACAGAATGTGAAAACATGAACTCATAAGGTTTTTTTTATAGCTTTCCCTGAGTTGTACTAGAGACGAAAAATAAGCATTCCTGAAATACCTCATATCTCTGTGAAATCCTAAGCACCCAGTCATACTTATTATCAGGTTTCAATGTAAATAAATGGACCATTATAACTTCTCCATTTAAAAACTGTTAAGATACTTTTTTGTATTTTATCTCAAGAAGCAACATTTCATGCCCCTTTCATTCATTAATTCTTCCTGGTTTATTTAAATCATATTGTTAGAGCAAGTAGTAGTGGTTTTGGTGACATATCCTTTTTTTCTTTTTGTTGCAGGCGAGCGGCCCTTCAAGTGCAGTCAGTGCGACAAGGCCTTCAACCAGAAGAGTGCTCTGCAGGTCCACATGGTCAAACATACTGGAAAGAAGCCCTTCAAGTGTGAGGTGTGCAGCATCAGATTCACCCAGAAGAGCAACATGAAACACCACATGAAGAGATCCCACGGCTTCGGTGAGCAACTTGACTGGCATCGTCACTCAAACGAAATACTCCAAAAACTAAAAACAGTAGTCATCCCTCTCTTGTCTACGGAATGGGAGTAGGCCCATTTGTTTGCTTTTTAGATGACCAAACGTTTTTTGTTCTTTTTTTTGTTCTGAGAAAAAAAGTCTAAATTAGGGACATCAAGTCAGGATTCTGAGAAAAAAAGTCAGAACTCTGACTTTAATCCTATACAGATTTGCAGAATAAATCTTAGAATTCTTCCTTTTTCTCAAAAATGTCTCCCACAAAAATGAACATGGCTTTTGGTCAGATTATAAAAAAAGACAATCACGTTGCTCTAATACTCTTCCGTACTTGTCTCTCAGTCAACTGAATCCACTTGATTCCAAAAGTCTCAGGATGGATAAGCCTTTTATAATGAAGTCCACCTTGTTGTGTTTGTGCAGGAGTTTGTTGAGGTCTCGAGGGGCCATCACACATCCCTCATTACACAGTAGATGCACATTAAAGAGTGTCCCTGAGCACTGCTGAGAGGCGGTGTTGAACGTTAACTATCTCTCTGTCTTAAGTCTCTTGCTGCTTTTCACTTGATGATCCTTTTCATTATCTGCTGAGTCCCCCACCCACTCGCCACTAATGTGCATGCACACACACGCTCTCCATCTCGATGATATTGTTGAAAAAGATGATGACATCGACTTTGATCGCCCGGAACGTGTTCGTTTTTTATGTCCGCAGAGGCTAATTATGAATGCAAAATCATTTCTGAGTGCTATGATTCAGGTTTAAGTTGCGGCTCTCTAATGGTGCGTCCAACACACTCACACATATTGATATTTATTCCATTCTAATACTAAGCCTCGAGGCTGCCAGGCACTTACTGACAATAACCTGAGGGGGAGAAGATCTGTTGTATTTATTCAACACTTCGACACTCTCCCCCACTGGATTGGAGTACTTAAATTCGAAAAGGCATGTCTGGAACATCAGCTTCTGTAAACTTGATGGGAATAATGCCCAGATTTAGAGAGTTTTAGACACTTTTTACAGTCCTGGAAAAAAACACCACAATCAAGAACTAATTAGAAAATCTTTGCATGATAACACGCTAGATGGAAAATTCTCCACTTTTCTTACAGGTTTTACAGCCAAGTACCTCAGATTAGCATGATTAAATGTAGAAAGGAAGGAACAGTTGGTCATTAATGAAACTGCAGCGACTAAACCGTCTGCATAGTATATTTTTATAGTTTGAACGCTTTTCTTTACCTCAAACAAAAAAATATTCTTACGCACGGCTGAATTGTACAAAAGTCGACAAAAACACTGCAGAGGATTCCTGTTATATTACTAAGATGTAGCACTTTAAAGAGTTCCTATTATGCTTTGATAGGCTTTCCTGGAGGGTGTTCTAAAGGTTCTGGTGCATGTAAATGGTCTGCAAATGCTTGAAATCCCAAAGTTCCCTCCACTGCCTGAAACACATCAATTTTTAATCCTTTGTTCACTTCCGTAACATAGTGACATCAAACTTCTATTGGCTAGTGCTCCAACACATTGTATTTGATACAGTAAGGGGCGGGACATCTCTAAGCGGTTGACCGATCACAAAAAAGCCAGCCAGCCAGCTATCAGAGCAGACTGGGCTCTGGTTTCAGACAGAGGGTGAAAAGAGAGTATGAGAAAAATAAAGAAGTCTTTGAACATTAAAGCATGGAGACATGTCACTGCAATACAAATATGAACCTCAACATTTGCATAATAAGGCCCCTTTAAGGTTGGACTTTATCTACAATCATAGTCATCTTTCAGATCATGCAATATTCTTCTCTGCAAGAATTTACACAAGCACACACATGCTAAAACTCTAGGGATCGTGGAAGAATTTTTCCTGAGAAACTCAATTATGTTTTGACAGGAATTCCTGAGAAACCAGGATCTAAGAATTCCCTGTAGACTGCTCATGATTCCAGGCCCGTTTGTAATGTGGGATTTAGTAAAAAACATTTAAAGTAATCCTTCACATTAGTTGTATTTGTCTACAGTATGTTGCGTGGCTGTTCCGCTTACAGCTATTTCCCACACACTCATGTGCTTGCAGCTTAAAGGGGACCTGTCATGCAAAATGCACTTTGTGATGTCTTTTATACATAAATATGTGTCCCTGGTGCGTCGGGGAACTCACGCAACGTCAGAAAATAAAACCCTCTCTCTTTTCCTCCGTATCCAAATCTTTTAAAAACGGGGGTACAAAGGGCGGATACAGATTCCATCCGAACTGAAGTCAATTTGGCGGCGGACCCACAGAAAGTTGCTATCAGAAACAATGCCTGACATGTTTTGGATGTCTTTGTTTACATTAGCAAGCCTCGCTAACACTCAGAGCTAACCTGTACTGGAGAGCACATGTGTTTAAAAAAGCAGGAAATAAAAAAAAAAAGAAACTCACCTTGTGATAAACCTGCAAGAGAAAAAGCATTTGAGCTCCATACTATTTCAGAAATAATCGTTGATGTGGTTTAGAACAGGATCGCTCTTTTATCACAACCGAATTTAACTTTATCTCCGGTAGAATTCTGATCAGGCATTAGCTCCGCCTCCTCTTATTTATTTATTTCAAGCTAAGGACCCAAAATCTGCATTTCTCTAACAGGGCTTCAAAAGAGGGGTTTGAGCAGTATGAGGGATGGCTACAATGGGTGATCCGTTTGGTATTTTGAAAAAAAAAATTCACAGACATGTTTTATATAGATATGGCCCTACAATATATTTTTCAAATATAGCATGATAGGTCCACTTTAATGACGGGTTTCAGATATAAACAGCAACAGTAAAGGGAGATCATTAAAACATTCCCTCTGTAAAACTCTATTCAGTGCTTGGCCTGGAGCAGCAGAAAAAGATGTCTGAATCTCTCAGCCTTTCCCAAAGTGACTAATTGTGTTTTGTTCTCTCAATATTGTGAACTTAATAAGCACAAATTATATTTTAAACTCACAACGAGCATATTCCACAACTATAACGTCCTATTATGTAGTTTGTGTAACAGATGTGTCATTTTCAGAGAACGGAAAATGTGAGAAATTAAAAGAAATGTTGGAAAACGAGGAGGGGGAATTACTTTCTGAATAATGTTCTCATTTGGGTGACAGCCACTGGCAAATTGAATACAGAATCCGAGCTGCAGGCGCTGCACTGTAAATGCATTTTAATGGAATTTTTCCTTCTGGTTTACAAAGCACTTTTATTACATATCTCAAGGAGTGCACTCTCTCCCTTCTCATTCTTCAATTCTTCCTCTTCCTCCCTCCAGGTCAGATCCATGATGTGACCCTGGGCGAAGAAGAATCAGTGTCTCAGGTGGAGGTGACGCCCGACCTCGACCTGGAGGTGGTTCCTGAATCATCCGAAGACTGGCACCATGTCTTCCCCTGACAACCCCCCCCACCCCCCCAATTCACTGTTCAAACAGAAAAGCCTTGCCAAACATTGTCCTCCTACCAAAAGGCTTATTCGGTTAGAAAAAGATTGAAGACTCCACTGTTTGCCGTGGTAGCTGCCCCCGTTCTGTTCGTCCAAATTAGCAGTGGAGTGAGGGGAGTCTGGTTCCCTGTGGTGGGCTTAATGACTTTTATCTGTTTGGCTCTGATTGTCATCAATATAATAACCTCCGGAGAGCTTTAGCTCAACAAACAGAGAATTCTCCAGAAGAAGCAGGTCCCTATCGAGCTGACCCTATTGGACGGAGAGGAAACTCGATTCGGAGGAAAAGCTCCCCATGGACAATTGTTTTTTTCATTTTGTATGTGCCCACAGGAACAAACAAAGCTACAAACAGCTATGTCTACAATAATTGTCACTTTTTTTACATATTTGTGCCGTCCATATTTATATTTGAAGTAAAAGGTAATTTGCCGTTTTGTTACGTCGTTGTTGCACATGTTGGTCGAGGTTCTCTGGATCTTATACGAGGTTTTTTGACTTGATGTCAGTTTTTGGGTGTCTTGTTCATATCTTGAAGACTCACAGCACTGATATTTTCTTTTGCTGTTGTTCATTCTGTAAAAAGTGTATTTAGATTGTTTATATTTTTTTGATGAACTGCCATAACATGGAGTGTTTGGAAGTATGTCATTTGAACATAATATTGCATTTGTATTGAAGCTAAGCCAATGTACAGATGCTTTTTTTCCCTTCTTGTTTTTGCAGTTGAATTTTCTATTGTTCATAATAAATTAAGAAGATTAAAGTAATTTTTCTACTAATTTCAACTTGCATTGGTTTTTATTATATTTTATGTTTTATTCCAGCCTGGAAGTAAGGAGAAACTGCGACCCTGACTCGGCACATGAAATCACTCTGAAACAGCCTTTCTTTCTCGAGTCGATACTCTCCCTTGTTCTACCATTGTGTAAAGATATTTTACATAATATAAATAGTATAGTAAGTTGTTAGAAATTAAAATCAATGTTTTAATGGGAAAATGTAGTTTAAACATGCCGTCAGTTTTAATGCAGTTTTACACTGAAAAACCAAAAATTCTTGGGCACAACCAGCTGTTAAGCTTTATTCTGAAACTCTTTCATCTCCGGTTGGCAGTTAGCATGTGGTACATTTACAATTTCCTAAAGAGGTGAATTTAGTAGCGAAATGATATGGAGTGGTGCAAACCGAAGCCTACTGATTTAACACTACAACTATAGATGTCGAGATACTACCATGCTGAATATTAAATGAAGGTACAGTTTATTTGAATACATTATTGTTTACAGACGAGAGTAGCATGTGACAACATCCGGAATG